TTCTGTGTATTCACAATGAAGGAAAGTATGAGAAAATGTCTCAAGTGCGGGCGCTCACCTGCTGGCGACCCAGCTGTAAAGTTATTCCGGTTTCCTCAACCTGGAATAAGGAATACGCTTCGGTACGTAAATTAAAACGAAATAATATATACGTAATAGTATTTCTTTATAGTAACAGCAAGCAAACGAATTTGAAGTAAAATCATTAACAATTTACATTTTATATTTAACATTTTTTTTCAGTTGTGAAACATGGGCCAAATATTGTTTTCCCGATAAAGAGTGCTCAACAGACTTCCAAACAAAACTTTATCAGGAACACAGGATGTTGTGTGATCAACATTTTGCTATGTCATCATTTGTGGATTTTACAACAAAAAAATTGCATAGATGGGCTGTACCCGAGGATTCTGACAAGGTAAATGTTGGTATAAAAAAGGTTAACATGTTACCATCCAATATTTGTTTTTCATGTTACCATACGATGTTGAAGTAAATTTGAAATGATTTTTGTCATTAACAATTTTTCACACTTATTCTGCTGATAAAATTCAATGCTATATTCAACATTCTCATGTTGAGTAAAGATAATCAACATCACAAAGAATGAATATGGCTATACTCTTATTATATTATATTATGTAACATACTGTATTCTCCAGCAACATCCAACACAAATCAGTGTCCAATATTTTTTTTTATATTTCCAGAAAGTTATAATTCATATACCAAATATATCTGTATCAATGGATAACACTTCGAGACCTCCATTAGTAGATGTCACAAATCAACCTGGGCAGAGTGGAACTATGTCAAGTACCATCATATCTGAACCTGGCCCATCACACTTGCATCATATACAAATACAAGACAATACTGAAAATCAAAATATTAATATACCTATACAATCCACATCTTCAAAAATGCAGATAAACAAAAAAGGCTGTACATTAAATGTAGAAAAGCAATGAAAAAAGTATGCCAATTACGTAATAGAATTCATAAACTTAATAACAAAGCAGTATTAAAATCTTTAGACAGTGATGATGCTGTAAATATTTTAACAAATAAAATTACTCCGACATTAGCTTTAATTTTACAAGGAGAAATAATGAATTTTAAAAGAAAGTCTAGAGGCAGAAGATGGTCTAAAGAATTAAAAATAACAGCATTAAGACTGTATAAGAGGTCACCAACATGTTATCATCTTCTGAGAAGGTTATTCTGTTTACCAGCACAGAGTACTCTGAAAACATTGTTAAGGCAAATTCCATTATCAGTTGGGATCAATGAAAAATTGTTTCATGTTTTAAAAAAGATTATAACTAATCTGTCACCTAGTGATAACGAGTTCATGGTAACTTTTGATGAGATGTCAATACGAAAACATCGTCATTATAATAAAAGAGATGACATAATTGAAGGTTGTCAAGACCATGCCTCACAAGGAAGAACTTCTCAGGTGGCTTCCCATGCTCTAGTATTTATGGTTTGCGGAATCAGAAAAAGCATCAAGCAACCAATTGCCTATTATTTTTCTGCTTCATCAGTTACAGCTGATAGACTTGCTGTAATTATTAAAGAGGTAACAAACTGTGTTAAATATTTTAGTCACTATCAAATACTGATATATAAGAATCAAATGTAGTGTTCCATACCATGATGTGAATATGTGACAAATGGTTACTTCTAACTCAAAATAAACCATGATTGTTTAGTAAGAAACCACCAACTTATTACTATATCAATTTTCTTGCTATATTTTAGGTTTTACGTCATTGTTTGAAGTATGGAGTAAAGGTGACTGCAACAGTCTGTGATATGGATGGTGTTAACCGAAGAGCTTTAGCAATATTGGGAGCTACTTTAAAAAATCCTTGTATCGAGTTGGACAGTCAGAGAATAGTGACCATATTTGATCCTCCACATTTATTTAAATGTTTTAGAAATCTTTTTATGAAATATGACATTGAAGTGAATCACTTATCTAATATTTCATCTCAAGAGATTAGTGGCAAAGGTAAATTGGTTTTTAATTGTATAGACCTCTTAAGAAATTAGATAATCAGGGTTTGAATAAATCTGATTTTTAGGGTTTCATCCAAATTAGATAACCAGAACCTATTACTAAGATTCTGCTGTCCTTCAGTCTGTCTAGGCTGTATCTTATGAACCATGACAGTTGAAATTCCCACAGATGACATGTCTTAATGCTAAGAAATACTAAAATACATAATAAAATAAATATTTTGGGGGGCACCCATAAAACAAAGGGGTTTTTTTTCACATTTTTAATATTAATGGTCTGGAACTAATTGGCCAGCTTTTATTTTAAATATATGTCCAATATTATTTGTATATAAATATATCTGAGATTTTACTACTATGTTGACTTATTTATTGTCAAATCAATTTTATGCTCAATTCCGGGTTATTCATTATGCATTTAAGATTTGATTCATCAATGTTTTTAGCAAAATTACTAGGCAATAATTATTTAAAACTTAATTTGAATTTAATTTGTATATGTATATTTATTTACAGGCATTGCGAAATGGACCCACATTAAGCAATTTTATGATATAGATAATTTAAATCCAAACTTTGTTTTTGCTCCTACATTAAGGCAAGAACATATATCACCTAACACCAGGCAAAAAATGAGAGTCAAACTGGCTGCTCAAATATTAAGTCACTCTGTTGCAGCGGGGATGTTTTGTAAAATATCGCAAGGTAAATAAATATAATGTTTAGATAGTTTAGTCACTGCTGGCCGCAGCAGAATATCAGTGCAGTAGGCTCTGCTTACTGCTTGTACTGAGCTGAGGCCAGCTTTGACAACGCACACCATGGCACAGATTATTGTATTGTTTTTCTGTTCTTTTTTCATGTTTATTTTATTTTATTATTATTATTTTTTTTAAGTTGTATATTGTGTACGTGATGTGTGTTGTCAAAATAAATGAATTCTATTCTATATGGTTTGTCTTAATCATTCACTTTTTTAAATTGTTTATAATTAAATGATTTTATACTTGTAGGGGAACTACCAGCAGAAGCCATAATAACCGCAAGTCTGGTGTCTAATATAGATAAATTATTTGATTGCCTTAATAGTAGTACACCAGATTGGAGAAGAGGCAAACCTCATGCTACAAATATGACTAAAAACTCTCCACATATACAGATTTTCAAAGACATGAAGGTTTTCTTCGAAACAATGCAACTTATCGGATGTCGAACTAGACCACCATCTGTAGATGGATGGGTATGGACATTAAATGCCATGGGAATATTTTGGAGAGAACTGACAATTAGGCATCCTAGTGTGCGGAGTTTAGCAACACGAAGATTGCAGCAGGACCCTTTAGAAAATTTATTTGGGTGCATAAGAGGGCATTGTGGCTCAAATACAAACCCCACAGCAGGTCAATTCATTGCAGGATTGAAAACTGCAGTTTTAAGCAAATTAAGCTCAATAGGAGCTAGTGGTAGTAATTGTGAAGCAGATGAGAATGAAGCCATGATAAATCATTTTAAAGTTTTAATAACAAAAGACACTGCCCAACCAACTCCAACGGCATACAATCCAGTAGAATATATTCAATTAACCGAAGCCATTCAAGTGGATCAAAATGAAGTCAGTGGGGAAATACAAGCATGTGCTTATATATGCAGATTTATGATAAAAAAATATAAAAAGGAATGCGCCATATGTACACAGTATCTATTGGCTGAAAATATTGATTTGGAGCATAATTTTATCAACATGAAAGAATTTTCTTCTGTAAAGAGAAGTTTAATCTATGCTTCGAAAGAATTTATTAAATTTGTGGAATATTGTGCCACTACTATCAATAATTATTCGGAAACAAATTTTTACAAGGAAAATTTAAAAAATAATATTACAAATTCGTTAATTACCTGCTGTTATTCAGATTTTTTTAAATGTACTGAACATAAACAGAATGTTATAGAATATGTAGTTAATAGTGTATTTTTTATTTCTGTTATGAGATTCTGCACACTTAAGAACCGCAAATTTATTGAAGAAGCTTCAGTGATAGGTCTTCGTAAAAAAATTAACATTTTAAAACATAATTAATATGTTTCAATTTCATAATGATTATGTATCAGATTTCATTTTTAATTATCTTAAAATTATCTTTGCTTGTCTATTTTTGATGGAAGAGGTTTCATTTACATTAAGTTTACCTATAAATTTTCATAGTTGGAACCATGTAAGTAAACTTATAGTGAAAACCTTGTCTGAATGTAATTTACTGTATAATGCAGATGATTTTACTACCTTTAAAAAAACGCACGATTTTTTTGTTACCGTTTGGCATAAGATAATGCTTACATTTTTGTACCTTCAGTAATATACATTTCGGTTTTGAAAACTTTCAAATTGAACTTTCCTAATTATTATAAATTAATGTTGATTTTAGGTGTATAAATTGTGATGCGTAAAGAAAGTTGCACTGCTAATGGCTTGTTTCTAGAATAGTTTTCAAACTATAGATCATTGAGACATCACTCTATTAGTTAATAAATTATTAAAACATCATAATCAGTTTTATTTGAATATATTTTTAAACATTAGATTAAATTTTAGTAATGCAGGAAGTACTTCCGGTGTTGTAACAATAAAGTCGTATGTCAATGTGCTCCGAAAGAAATTGACGAGAAACAGTACAAATTTTACCATAACAACCACATAATAGTGCTAACTTTTCACAGAAAACTGTTATCCTCTTGTGCAAGAAAAAATCACGGTGCTAAACAGTTGAATCACAGTGAAATCTTGTGTACAAAATATTGTTGACATCCTTATAATTTTTAAATACCCACAGTTGGTTTGACATTATTGAGTGTTTATTACGATCTTATACTCCTTCCGGCATCTGACAATAAACCATAGATACGAAAGTGTTGCCAGCTCAAAAGTGTTGCTAGTGTGAAGTCACTTACTACTAAAGAATAGTAAAAAAGAAAAGATGGACCCTCAGACACAAATAATAATTGAGAAAATGAATGAAATGAGATTGGAATTTAAACAGCGTAACGATGAATTGGCGGCGAAATTAACGGAGAATTTCTCTTGGACCATTGAAGAGAAATTAAAACCTATTGTCGAGGAAAACATCGAACTAAAAAAGCAAGTCGCAACGTTGCAATCAAAAGTTGAGAACTTAGAAAAAGAGACAAGAAAAAATAATATTATTATCCATGGAGTAAAAGAAAACGAGACAAATTTCGCAGACTTGAGAAGTAAAATCACTAGCATCCTGAACGAACTCAGCAAAAAGTCGGATATGCGAGAATGGGATGAATGGGAGATAAGCGACCTTCGAAGATTGGGGAAGAGAGATGTGAGCAAAACGAGGCCGATTCTGATAACACTTACACTCGTATGGCGAAAACTCGAGATACTTAAGAATAATAAGAACCTTCCGACTGGTATCTATGCAACTCAAGACTACCCCAAAGAAATCCTGATAAAAAGAAACGAACTGAAAGTTAAGAAAAGACAAGAGGAATTGAATGGGAACGTAGCCTATATCCGCTATGACAAGCTTATAATTAAACCTAATAATATAATTAAACCAACTGATACAACGAAAGAAAGTGAAAAAAGGAAGAGAATGCCGACTGACTCACCCACTCAAGACTATCACGAGAAGATAACCGCACCATCCAAGGTTAACAAAATAAGCACACTAGGGATCTCAACTCGCCCAAGAACCAACTCGACCTCAGGATCAAGCAAACAATGACAACCTCTGCACATCAGGAACCGGAAGCCACCAAACAACAAAAACGAAAACTCAAAATATAACAACCTAAACAATTCCCCAAGCCGGAAAGCGGTCTCCGTGGGGACTAAAGACCGCAACCCTCTAACTAAACAGAAAGAAAAAGCAACATACAACAGAAATATTTATATAGCTACAATAAACACACTTACCTTAAGAACTGAAGAAAGAATATTAGAACTTGAAAATGCACTTGAAAACATTAAATGGGACATTATTGGACTTTCCGAAGTAAGAAGACTTGGCGACACCATTGAAGAACACAACAAATATATTCTTTACTACAAAGGAGAAACCAAAGGTCTCTACGGAGTAGGATTCATGGTCAAACCAGAACTTAAGAAAAATATTATTGAATTCAGAGGGGTCTCAGAAAGAATAGCAATACTTAACATAAAGCTACCTGGCTTCAGCAAAAATTGGTCAATAGTACAGGCTTATGCACCGACAGAATCTTCAGATGAAAAATCTAAAGATGACTTCTATTCGAAGCTCAGCGAGACCCTGGAAACTTGCTACAAAAATACAATTGTCATGGGGGATTTCAATGGAAAGATTGGCAAACAAAACCAAGGTGAAGAGACTGTAGTGGGGAAATACGGAACAGGCAAAAGGAACAGCAACGGAGAGAGACTGATAAGCATGGCTTTAGAACATAAATTAAAGATTATGAACACCTATTTTCTGAAAAAAACAACAAAAAAGTGGACCTGGATCTCGCCGGATGGTCTCTATTGCAATGAAATAGACTACATCTTAAGTAACCAACCTAAAATCTTCCATGATGTCGATACAGTCAAAAAGCTAAATTTCTATACCAATCATCGCATGGTACGAGCAGTACTAATTGGTGGTGATAAAAAGAAATGCAGGAGAAATTACAGAAAGTTCGATTGCCACCAGCCCCTATACAACTATACACAACAAAACAGAAGAAATACGGAAAACAACATAAATAAAACTCAAGAACTTTATGACAAGGAAATGTGCAACATGTATAGTAATAATTTAACATCAAAACTAATGAACAAAAAACAAGATATATTCAGCATAAACACCATAGAATTAATACAGAAGAGAAAAGCTTTGTTTATGAACAAGAAAGATAAAACCACCCTAAATGAAATAACAAAAATAAGTAAGGAAATAAGCAAGAATATTAAAAAGGACAGAACTAGGAAGACAATGGCATCCATTAACAACCATATAACCAAGACTGGGGGGATTAAAAAAGCCCTCAAAGAACTCACAGACTCTAAAACATGGATACCTAAATTAAAAAACATAAAACAAACACTTGAAACTGAAAGAGGAAGCATTTTAGATATAGCTACAAACTTTTACAAGGCCCTGTATTCAAGTAAAACTTTAGAATCATCAGAGAAAACAGCCAAAGATAGCATAAGCTCTCTAGATGATAATGAGGAGAATATTCCCCCCATATTAGAAATGGAAGTGTCTCATGCAGTAAGATCACAGAGGAATGATAAATCACCAGGACAAGACAATATCACAAATGAAATGATGAAAATTACTCTACCAGAGAACCTCCATAAACTTACCCACCTGTATAATGTGATAATGGATTCTGAATACATCCCTCTTCAGTGGTCAAATAGCACGATCGTCCTAATATACAAAAAAGGCGACAAAGAAGATATAAACAACTACCGCCCTATTAGCCTCATGTCAAATATATACAAAGTCTTTTCAAAAATAATTCTTAATAGAATCTGCAAAACCTTGGAATTTCACCAACCCCCTGAACAAGCAGGATTTAGAGCAGGATATTCAACCATAGACCATATACACAGCCTAAAGCAAATCATAGAAAAAAGCCAAGAGTTGGGTACATATTATATTTGGCATTTGTTGACTATAAAAAAGCCTTTGATTGTTTGGAACACCATTATATTTGGAGAGCCCTAGAAAATCAAGGGGTCGAATCTAAATACATAAGGCTGATAAAAAACGTTTATTTCAACAGTACAGCGATCATCAAACTTGAGACATGCGGAAAAAGCTTTCCAATTCAAAGAGGAGTAAGACAGGGGGATCCCCTGTCTCCTAAATTGTTTTCCGCTGTGCTGGAAGAGGTCATGAGAAAACTATCCTGGGATGATCTCGGAATCAATATTGATGGCCGCAAACTCAACCATCTTAGGTTTGCAGACGACTTGGTGTTGATAACAGAAAACTCAGAGACTTTGCAATCAATGCTCCAAGACCTAGCTAGCAAAAGTGAAGAAGTGGGCCTAACAATCAACAAGTTAAAAACCAAGGTGATGACAAACGATATTGAAAAAATAATACTTGTTGATAATGAAAAAATAGAGTATGTGAATACCTATATTTATCTAGGACAGATAATATCCTTCCAAAACCAGATGCCACAAGAAATCGACAGGCGAGTAACAAACACATGGAAGCGATACTGGGCTCTTAAAGATATTTTCAAAAACAAAAAGTACAAAATCAGTATCAAGAGAAAGCTCTTCAACACCTGTCTATTACCTATACTTACATATGGCTGTCAAACATGGGCCCTAACCCAAAAACTCCAAAACAAATTAAGAACTACTCAGAGAAGTATGGAAAGGAGCATCCTTGGATACAAATTGAGAGATAAGATGCGTGCATCTGATCTACGCAAGATCACCAAATTCGAGGATGTTAATATGAAATGCAAACTACTAAAGTGGAGATGGTCTGGCCACATTGTAAGACAGCCAGCAGTGAGATGGGCCAAAACCCTGACTGAATGGATACCGCGTTATAACACAAAAAGGAAAAGAGGTAGACAGCTCAAGAGATGGGCTGATGACTTACGTAGAACAGCGGGGACTCTATGGATAAGAACAGCTAGAAACAAAGAAGAATGGAAAAAGTTAGAGGAGGCCTATGTGTCAGCAGGACACACTGATGAATGATGTGCGAATTTCGGTATAAATTGTAAATTGCAAACTACAAATCAGTAATAAAGGCTTTATTATTATTATTATTATTATATAATGCAGGAATTAATTGGTGATATTGCAAAAGGTTCAACGTCAAAAGTAGTTTTAATAAATTAGAACTAATTCAGTGTTATGAATTCAGTTCTAATTTATTAAAACTACTTCTGACGTTGGATTTTTTGCAGTTTTATGAAAATGAAACATATTGAAATTCCCGCCAAAGCTAATGTTATTTGGGGGTGTTCAATAGATGGCTCTTGTGGCGATGAAAAAATTGTCTCACGTTTTTTGTTTGAAGTTGGCATTCTTCTCGTCAAGAGTATATGTTCCTTGGCTGGAGTCCAAAGAAACTTTACAATTTTATTGTTGTCAGATAATTTTTGAATAACTTCTTTAATTTCGAACAATATATAATTAGTATTCTGTAGTTTAAAATTATCAAGTGCTTTGAGAACGGACATACTATCGGAAACTATTAAATACTTGCTTTTGTTGGAGCACATGATATCCATTTGAACATATCTGAGAGCCAACAGAATTGCAGTGGCTTCAGCCGAAAACACGCTGAAAATAACTGGCAGTCTATGTCCTTTGCCGTACTTAACATTTTTGTGGTAATAAGCAGCTGATACTCCAGAGTCATTTTTTGAGCCATCTGTATAAATTGTTTCATAACCTAGCCATTCTGATAACTTTTCATATACAGCTTCTTTTGTTTGTAAGTTGTTATCTATATTTATTTCTAATTGTGGGAATTTCCCTTCATAGGAACCTTTATAACAAGCCCAGTGTTCATTTCTATTTATGTTTGTTTCTAAAATATATGCTGATATTTCACAGAAATCATGAAGAATATATGGGAATTTACAATGAGTATTTACAGATGTTAATGATGAAAAAGACTCACTTAGACGAATCAGTTTATCTACTAAAGGGTGATTATTTATACTGTGGATTTTAAGGATGAATTTAAATTTTAAATATTTGAATCTTAAAAATAATGAAGAAATATTGCACTCTACTTGCATAGATATAATAGGAGTTGTATTCATTGCTCCTGTGATAAGTCTTAAATTTTTATTTTGAATCTTCTCTAATTTATGAACAAGAAAATGGTCACATGTGTAGCATAGAAAGCTATATTCAAAATGAGAACGGACAATGGATTTATACAACATAAGTAAGATTTTTGGATCAGCACCCCAATATGTCCGAGCTAAGGACTTTAAGATGTTAAAAGCTCTTAGTGATTGTCTACTAAGCCAGCTACATGTTTATTCCATGATAAGTTCTTAGTGAATATGACACAGAGGAACTTAGCCTCATTACTTACGGGAAGTGGATTGCCATCATATATGATATTGGTTAGTAAAATTTTCTTTTTGCTGAATACTACAACATTGGTTTTAGTTAAATTAATATCCAATTTCAGATATGTAAAATATGATTTTAATTTTTGTAATGCATAGTTAAGTTTTTTCTCCACTTCAAACATATTTGTGCCAGTACAGTACACTGTGAGATCATCAGCATATTGCAAATTATTTACATCATTTCCTAATATACTATTTAACTTATGTATATACAGAATAAATAACAATGGGCTGAGTATCCCACCTTGGCAAACTCCTTTATTAGACATTTGTGGTCCAAAAAAATTATTTTGAAATTTAACATAGACTTCCCTACTGTTTAAAAAATTAAATATCCATTTCACTAATTTCACAGGTGATGGTCAACATTATTGAAGGCACCTATGATATCAAAGAAGATACACACAAGAAACTTACCATTTGTAAAGGCACTATGTATGTCTAAATATAAATGATTTAGGCTCTCAACTGCAGAACAATCTCTCCTAAAGCCAAACTGATTATAAGGCAATAAATTATTGTGTTCTATAAAGTAATCTAGTCTTTGTTTGATCAACTGTTCAAAGAGTTTTGCTGCACATGATGTTAGAGCTATAGGTCTATAGGAGTCATGGTCATCTTTATCCTTGCCAGACTTTAGAATGGGGACCAAACAATCGACTTTCCATGATTTAGGAATAATTGACTTTTCCCAAAGTGAATTGTAGACTTGCAAAACTATTTTGTGACTGGAAGGACTAAGAGTTTTAAACATTTTGTATGAGATGTGATCTAAACCAAAAGCTGTATCTCTGCGGGATTCTATGGCACTTAGTAACTCTATTAAAGTGAATGGTTTCATAAAAAATAATTCACTATCAAGACATTGGTCAGAAAAGTAATCTAATGGTGGAGATTGAGTGTTAGAGGTGTACTTATCTAAAAAAGACTGAATCCAATTGTTAGTATTTGAATTAAAAGTAGGTCTGTATGATTTGTTAAATTTTCTTATATTAGTCCAAATCAATGATAAAGGTGTCTGACGATTGAAAGTATTACATAATTTTACCCATGCTTTTTGCCTTTCATTATTAATTGTTAGTTTTTTTTGAGCTTGTTTCTGTTTAAACAGTATATAATTTTGTTCAGAAGGATTTTGTTTAAACTCTATATATGCAGTCTTACAGTTTGTTACAGCTTGTGAGCATACATCATTCCACCACGGAAGATTTAATTTCTTTTTTGGTTTAGGAAATGATTGTCGATATACTACAGATGATTTCTTAGAAAGATTTGCTTCAGATACACAATCAAGCAATATTTTGGACAGTTGATCATAACACCCTTCTGGATTAGTTGTGTCAATATTTACATCTCTTAATGTAATATCAGTTAATTGCTTATATTTTTTCCAGTCTACCGTATTATAATTAGGTTTTATATAATTTACACTAACATTATTATTGTCAACATTATACATATTTACAGAATTACATAATACCTTTGTAATAACAGGAAAGTGGTAACTACATAGGGAGTCATCATGTACATGCCAATTACATCTTAGTGCTAATTCTGGTGAAACTAATGTTAAATCTAATGCATTAGGACGCCAGTTATGAGAGCCAACAGTAGTTACTGTACCATCATTTAAGATACATAAATTGTTATCATTAATAACATCTAAAAGAGTTGAACCACGAATATCTGTTGATGTACAACCCCACATAGTGTGGTGTGCATTGAAGTCGCCGGCGAAGATTAGTGGTTTAGGTATAGATTTAATTAGATTATTTAAATGGGTACAACTAAAGTTATAGGGAATTGCAGAGGTTGGACTGTAAAAACTTACTATAGATATTGTTTCATTATTATATTGTAGTCTTATAGCAATATTTTGTAAAGAGTTGTCATAATAAGTTGGTAACTTATTATAGTGAAGATAATCTCTGATTATAATAGCAACACCATTGTGTTTTGAACCTATATCTAACCTTTCTATTAAATAGCCTCTTATGTTAATAGTTTTTGTGCATTGTAACCAGGTTTCCGAAATAATAGCAATGTGTATATCATTTTGATTTAAGTACTGTGTGAAGACATGTTTATGGCTTAGTAGACTCTGAGCATTCCATTGTACAATATTGAGCTGATCCATTATTTATTACTAGCTGTATTACATTTACTAGAATTAAATGTGTCAAGTAATACTGTTTTAATAGTCTCCGATGTTAATGGAGATGAGTTATCTGAAGATGATTTCTGGGTATATAGTTTGAGAATAGTAGATATAATTAGATTAAGTATATTATCTGATTGTAATATAGTTTGTATTTGTTTTTCTTGTTTATTAGTAGATAAGTCAGGGAAGTGTTTACTGTTTAAAACATCAGCATATAGTTTTTTATTAAATTTAGCATTGTTTTTTTCTATTTCCTCTTTTCTTTTGGGGCATTCTGATGAGATTGAAATATGGTTTCCTTTACAGAAAACACAGACGGCATCTTTCATAGGTTTGGTACACTGCTTATAATGATG